CAAGAGTGGTCATAACTTCACTGCCTACCCACCACACCTGACTTCTTCTTGGCAATGAGGACTAGTATTGACAAAATACAAGAGCTTTCTGCTAAATGCACCTGGGGGGGGGGGAGGGGGGGCAGATAGGGGGGATGTCACATCCATGCGCTGCTCCCTTGCCCTTGGCAGCCCTGGCTGTCAGCAGTAGTGTCTTCCCCAGCCACTATACTATGTGCTTGGGTGCAACCTGGCTGCAGCCTGGCTGGCAAGGCCTCAACAGGATCAGTATTATCAGCTCAAAGCTGTTTCTTATAATATCTGTCATGCACATAACAATTTCAAAGAAAAATTTATGTCTGGAAACTTCTGCATCCCCACTAGCCTTAGAAAGTTAAATCCCTTAGTGCTCAATCCAGATACCCTTAGGTCAACCAGAAGACTCCTGTTGGCCACAGTAAGGACTGAACTGATAGCAGTGCTTGCTGCCAAGAGCAGCATTCTCTTCAACAGCTGCTGGGTAGCCTGGAAGCTTTCAATCATGGGAAATAACAGGAAGCTGTAAAGTTGTGTGCCATAAGGAGCCCCATGAATTTGTTTAGGAAAAGAAAGCTGAGGATATATATATATATATATATATGTATGTATGTATGTATATGTATATATATATATATATATATAAAATCCTTTGTTTTAATCTTCAAGTATCGTAACAGATTAATTATGACTTGCAATATTTACTTTTTTTTTTCCCCAGCAAAGTTTTTTTGTGAAGCTTTTTTGTATATAATCAGTTAGAGTCTGCCCTTTGTCCCCCACTTAACCGCTCTCCTTCCTATTAAAACGCATTAAAAATATATCCTGTACTGAGCTGTTGTTTCATCTCAAGGTAGGGTACTTAAGTGACTTGGAAAGTATTATATCTCACTGGTTTTATGGCAGTATCTAGTTGTCACAGAGATGTGGTTCCTAGTCACCCAGCTTTCTTTGGATTATTGCATGCAGCCAAAGCTGTATATTCCTATAATAACAAGCTTTAGCTATATTATAATTATATTATAGCTATATTATAATAACAAGCTTTAGCTTGTTATTATAGGAAAAATGAAACATCCTTGTCAAACTGCAGCTTGGAGCTTAAAAGATCCTGAGGAGAGTCACAGCCTAACACTGTTCCCATAGCTCACACTGTCAGATGCATATCAAGGTTTCTGAGATCCAATTCTATTGTTACCCCTATCCTGCATTAAACAAACAGAAAAAAACATCTAGACCTGCCTTGAGAACTGGGGCTGAGGAGAAGTAAAGGTAGCAAAGGCTATCTGCAGAAAATTTGGTAACAAATTGACAGCAAATATTAAAATATTAGCAAAAATTAAAATTTTAGCTAGGCCTCAATGGAAAGTGAAATGATATCATAACGCCTTAAGCACATTATAATTGCTTTTATGCTCTTATTTCCCTCTTTAGACATAGGTCTCCAGTTAAACCACAATTTCAGGACATACCACAACCTCCTCACTTGGAGAAGAGGGCTGGTTCACTATTGGAGCTGGAGGGCAACAAAGGAGTGTGCCCTTCTATCAGAAAATTTGAATGCAAAGATTCAACTCTCCTGCTCTGCCCAAAACAAATTTATTTTGACTCTTGGCATTCTGCTTTTCCATTGCTAACAGTAGATATATTGACAGACAGAGACAGATGGAATATATACCAAAGATAAATATATTTCTCATGTATTGCTGTTTTTGAAAAGACAGTTTTCAAACACCCCTATAAAGACTGATTATCATAGAATAAGCAAAATTTGAATTCAGAGGCAATTAAAAGTCAAATTACAATACACAGATTCATAACCCATCTACAGCTCTGTGGTTCTGGCCACATCTGGCTGTTCGTGCTCAAATTAGAAAACGTGCTCTAAGCCTGAGACACAGTAAGAGGAAGCTTAATGCTGTTTGCCATAGGGTAGCAAACATGCCTCAGTTCATAGCTCTCAAGGTGCATTTGAAGTCTTGCTGTGGAAATATTTCTCTGGCCTACAGCCAACAACAGAATGAATGGTGAAGCACATGTCCTTCTCCTTGGACAACTGTATTAATAATGGGGTCTTCTTGTTACCTTTCCACAAGACATGTTTGAACACCATACCCTGTTATTAGGTCTGTACAACTTTCAGATCAGAACTGTCTGGACAGCCTAAAGGACAGAAAACATTATATTGAAGTCTAGTTTGTATCCATTTAGAAAAAGATGTACTTGTAAGATTCATCATGTTCCTGGATATTTTATGCAGACAATACCTGACGTGATGTATAATCAAGTATGTGGAAAGAGGAAGGAATTTAACATAAGAGCTCATCTGTAGACCAGTATGAATTATTCCTTTTTCTCATGTCTCTTTAATTCTTTTTCTTTTTTTCTTTTTTTGAAAATGTAATTGTTGTCTGGGAAATCTGACTCCAGCTAGCCACCTGCCAAGTACTGACTCGCATCTGTGTACAAGATGTTCCCAGCTCTTCTGCATGCATCTGTATCTATTTGCCGAACATATCAGATCAGCTGCTTTTTGCATGCACAGAAAGAAAGAAGAAAGAGCCCCCAGCACAACCACAACCAATGGTTTCTTTCCCTGCCTCCTAATTGCTCTATGCTTATCTCTCCATTCCCCTTGACTGGTGACAGAACTGATCACTGTGGCTCAGAAGCATTGCCCTGGACTCCCAGGTACAACTAGATCAAGTGGCAAATGTCCAGTCCTTGGTTTAGATATGTTGTAGTCTACTATGACTACATAGTGTCTTGATAACAAGCTGGCTAAAACGGCTCAGTTCCCATTCCTCAATTATCAGGTTAGAGTATTTCTCCGGTGATAGCAATGTTCAAATATAACAGCATTCATGGCATCGGCCTGGCATTGATGCTGCCTTCCAGCACACTGAGTGACATGTGCACACTCCTGAAATTAATCTGAACTCTTTCATGGGGGGAGAGCAGCATGTACACATGTGCATCACTCATAAATCATTGTTTAGATTGGCCTTGTCCCCTAAATTTGGTTCAATCTTCTGTCAGGGACCTGAGTGCACCTGAAGGATACTGTAGGGGGAAGACAAAGACTGCAGAGAATCACTGCCCTGAGTAAGGCAGTCACTGTACCCGGAGCCCTAACGTCTACCACTGGATAAGAGTCAAGCAACCTCTCACACATTAAGCCACCCCATCCATAAACTATGCAGACTAGGGAAGAAATTCCTCTAGTAGCTTGCAATTTGCTTCCTGTCAGTCCATTGCTGGTCTACCTGTTGGTTATTCTTGCATTATAGCACTCTCAAGGAAATCTGAAGTTACGCGTTCCTGACTCAAATCCATTTAATCTGGTGATCTGCAAAAGACCCTGGAATTTTCTGGAAGCTAGAAATAGCTGGAAATAGCATGTTATAAGCCTTCTTCCAAGAGCAATTGAGAGTTCATCTTATTTTGTGGTGCATCTGAGGAGGTTATTTTCACCAGTATGAAAATCTATCATATTGGTCTCCAATAATTTTCCTTAATTATCAATCTATAGAAACAAGATATTTAAATGAAAAGAAAATGACCAAAGAGAAACACTTGGGCTCCTTTATTCTGCCAAATAATAAAGTTTTTTCCAGAAGAAAAAAACTTCAACTCATTGCAACAAAAGAAAATACAGCACAAACTCCTTTACAAGTCAAGTGAAAAGCTATGTACAGTATTTAGTCATATTTTTATTCTTTGTGTCATAGAAGATCCTACCTGTATATTACGTACATGACACGTGATTTGGTGTTCATAATGTGTGTTCATAGTTTGTTAACACTCTTCAGTATCTCACTTTGAGAAGCAAAAATGCAAGAGGTTATGCTCCTGCAGCCTTGTGGAAATAACAGTTCTGGCAGGGAACAGAAGCACTGCCAAACTGTGTTATCTGATTGTCTAGTCTTCCTTTTACCCACCTTTCTGTGAAGAGGAATGCTCAGAGTTGCACTGTACAACCAAAAACCAAATTCTTTTACTTTTCAGAGAAATTTATATTTAGACAATCTGGGACAGGAGGCCATATTCTCTCTTCAATGTATTGATGCCCATCTGGTTGTTCAGCAGATATGTGAGGGGTCATTATGGTTGTGACTGTGTTGAAAAAGCAATTACTATGTAGGTATGTGTCACACTGTCTAAAGCCTGCCTTTCTCAGTGTTTTTGAAATTTGGACTTCTCAAATGATTCAAAGGGTAGAACAGTGAAAGCAGAGAAGAATGGAAAAATGAGAGAAAACACTCTGATGTGTCTTGAAGAGCAACATGAGCCTCTGGCTGTTACTAAATCCACTGATGCCATTTGGCAGAGGGTAGCCACATAATGATTCTACAACACACATGACTGCTTCAGAACACTTTCACATTGCTTTCATAGTGCTGTGTTTCAACAGAGTGCAGAGTGTATTCCTTGTTTAGTTCTACCATGATCATATGATCATATCAGATCTAGCTATTTCAATAGGAAAAAGCTTCCTAAAGGAGCAAAATCTATTCCCATTATGTTAAGAGTAGATGTAGGAACATTGTTTCCACACACACACACACAAAAAAAAAAAAAAACACAAACAAACAAAACAAAACAAAACAAAACAAAACAAAAAAAAAAACACCCTTCTCTGAAAGCAGCATATACTAGAAACTAGCAAGCAAAGAGAGTAAAATATGAAATTCAACCTGGACAAAGATCTCACAAGTGCAAAGATCCACTGAGGGAGACTTTGGGAATCATTATGAGAATGAAGAAGACAAAGTGAAGCAACTGAGTTGATGATGCCTGAAACTAGGCATCATAATGACATTATGATAGCATTATAATGACAGTGATAGCTTTATTAGTGGTGCTTGTTTCTGTTTGTTTGGTTATTTGTTTTTATATTCCTGAATATGACCTACATGACCTTGAGGAAGTATTCCAGGATGTTAGTAATAGTCTCATTACCTGTTGGGACTGCTTGCACTTACCACGCAACTCCTGCCGTACCACTGATCAGCAATCCCATTCTTATCTCATCGGCTGCCCAGCTTTCAACAGCAGCTCCAGTGGTGACATGGCTTGAACTGCTGCTGTGTGCCTTGGAGATAAAAAAAGAACACCCTATCTGACTCACTGAGTTAATACCTATTAGCTCTGCCAACACTGTGTTCAGTGTCTGGGAAGCTGATATAGTAAATTTCTGCCCATATTGGTAATGGCAATGATTCACTGAAGCAGTTTTAAAGATGTTAGGATCATGTAACAGGATTAGGATTTCTATAACTGGCAAAAGAAATAGGGATTTAAACTGCTATAAATTATCCCTGAAATCTTTCTTTTGCCTTGGCTTTCTTCTCCATATTTACTTGGATTTCTGTTCCCAAAGTTCTTTTGTTGTTCCCTTTCTTTCAATTCTGCTTAGGAGTCGGGGAGCGGAGGGGAGGGAGGGAGGGAGGGAGGGAGGGAGGGGGGAGGAGGGAGGGAGGGAGGGAGGGCGGGAGGCGGGAGGAGGGAGGAGGGAGTGGGGAGGGCAGGGGGAGGGAGGGGGGGGGGGGCGGGGGGAGGGAGGGAGCGAGGGAGGAGGGGGGTGGGGCGGCGGAGGGGGAGGGAGGGGGGGGGAAGTGGAGGGAAGGGGAGGGACAGGGAAGGGAAGGGGAAGGGAAGGGCAAGGGAAGGGTGAGGGAAGGGAAGGAGGGGCAATGGGGAGGGAAGGGACAGGGAAGGGAAGGGCCGGGCAGGGAAGGGCAGGGACTGGAGGGGAGGGTAAGGGCAGGGACGGGCAGGGAAGGGAAGGGAAGGGAAGGGAAGGGAAGGGAAGGGGGCGAAGGAAGCGAAGCGAGAGAAGAGAAGAGAGCGAAGGAAAGAGCTCTAGGGGCAAGCGAAGGGAAGGAAGGGAGGGAGGAAGAGCCTCTCCTTCTTACTTTCGGAAGGGAGAAGGGAAGGGAAGTTCTTCTCAGGAGGGACGGGACTTGCTTTCCTGGTCCTTTGAATCTGTCCTGTAATGGTGAAGTGAAGTTCCTTTCCTTCCTTTCCTTCTTTCCTTTCCTTTCCTTTCCTTTCCTTTCCTTTCCTTTCATTGCCTTTCTTCTTCCTTCCTGTTTTTCCGTCTTTCTTTCCTTCTTTCTTTCCTTCTTTCCTTCTTTCCTTCTTTCTCTCTCTCTCTCTCTCTTTCTTTCTTTCTCTCTCTCTCTCTCTCTTTCTTTCTTTCTCTCTCTCTCTCTTTCTTTCAGCACAAACTGAGATACAAGAAATATGTTGATTACACTATGTGCCTTTGGTTTTTAACCTGTTGATATTGTACTTCTGGGAGCCTGCAGTTCCACTTTTGCTAATGCAACTCTGAAAAAGTTTGGACCCTGCAGCTTTCACGGAACATACCTATACCTATCCCCCTTCTTGAGAACTCATATTATGTTGTTAATGACTGACACCACAGAAATAACTGGTGTCTAGAAATCTTGTAAGGGATGTGAAGCTACAAGATAGTACAGAAACCCAGATGAATTAAAGTTGCAGGGTTCAGACACAGGAAACAAATATAATGCATCTATTTTGGATGGGCCTGAGGGAAAGAAGGAGTCTGAAGGGCAGAAGACAATGTAGGCAGGGCGGTGAACTAAAATGAAATGTAAGTGTACCAGGGAGATGGCAGAAGGGTCTTCACTGAGCAGCTGTCACAGGACCACTAGAAACTGAACTCCTATGGCCCTCCCTGGGAAAGCAGAACTTTTTAAGTGGGATGGGTCCAGGAAATCTGTCCTTCACCACTTGTTCCCCTACCTTTCTCCCAGCAATAGCTCTGAGTATCAAGCAGACACAACAGCAAAACTTGTTAATGCCAAGAGCCTAGATGTGTCAAAACACAAAACAAAATGAGTCACAACAGGAACATAATTACTAATTGCATATAGAATCATAGAATCATAGAATCATAGAATATCCTGAGTTGGAAGGGACCCTTAAGGATCATCAAGTCCAACTCTTGACACCGCACAGGTCTACCCAAAAGTTCAGACCATGTGACTAAGTGCACAGTCCAATCTCTTCTTAAATTCAGTCAGGCTCGGTGCAGTGACCACTTCCCTGGGGAGCCTGTTCCAGTGTGCAACCACTCTCTCTGTGAAGAACTTCCTCCTGATGTCAAGCCTAAACTTCCCCTGCTTCAGCTTAACCCCGTTCCCGCGGGTCCTGTCGCTAGTGTTAATGGAGAAAAGGTCTCCTGCCTCTCGACACCCCCTTACGAGGAAGTTGTAGACTGCAATGAGGTCTCCCCTCAGCCTCCTCTTCTCCAGGCTGAACAGGCCCAGTGCCCTCAGCCGTTCCTCGTACGTCTTCCCCTCCAGGCCTTTCACCATCTTCGTAGCCCTCCTCTGGACACTCTCCAACAGTTTCATGTCCTTTTTATACTGTGGTGCCCAGAACTGCACACAGTACTCGAGGTGAGGCCGCACCAGCGCAGAGTAGAGCGGGACAATCACCTCCCTCGACCTACTAGCGATGCCGTGCTTGATGCACCCCAGGACACGGTTGGCCCTCCTGGCTGCCAGGGCACACTGCCGGCTCATATTCAACTTGCTGTCTACCACGACCCCCAGATCCCTCTCTTCTAGGCTGCTCTCCAGCGTCTCATCGCCCAGTCTGTACGTGCAGCCAGGGTTTCCCCGTCCCAGGTGCAGGACCCGGCACTTGCTCTTATTGAACTTCATGCGGTTGGCGATCGCCCAGCTCTCCAACCTATCCAGATCCCTCTGCAAGGCCTTTCCACCCTCATTCGAGACCACAACTCCTCCAAGTTTACATCTGATCTGTTTTCCAGATTTATAATTTGTTTTAACCAGAAATCTTACTGGAAAAGCAGAAGGAATCTCTATCCCACTTGCCCGATTTTGCCCTTCCAGCTATGAGATAATAATCACATTGCATCTTTTCTTTCTCCTTCCACTTGTTCTCAGAAGTTTTAGTCTTCTTATTTTCTGACCACCACACATTTTCCATCTGTAGAATCAACATAATAAAACACCTCTGTACAAAGTTGAACTTTTTCTTCTTCTTGTTTCTAGTATTCTATTTTTTACACCAAGTTGCCTGCTGTTCACATAGTGTCCGGACTTCTATTTTTTCTGCTTAACTAGTGCTATGTGCAGTTCTCTTCTGTGTTCTCATCTTCCCCTCTTTTCAAGGCTTCCTCAGAGAACATGTCTCTTCCTCAGAGAACAACCACATGAACATGTGGTTGTTCATGTTGCTGCCATCACCCCCACCAAGAAGAATAGTGTGTACTTGCCAGAATTGGAAACAGAAAGCTGTAAATGGACCAAGAGCTGTTATTTCCTGTCTCCAGATAAAGGTCTTGCGTTGAGGATATAGATACTTTACTTTCATGATACTTTGCAACAGTGATCATGAAGTATGTGGAGCTCCAAGAATGAGTCATCAGTGGTGTCTATCTAGTGTTCACTAATTCCCACTATTGTTATCCATAGTTCTACCTTCAGCAGTACTTCTGAATATGAGTGCTACAGTTGGCTATAAAATCATTTCTTAACCTGCCCAGGCTGAATTTTCTTGGCTTGTATGAGGCTGGAGATCCAGACCTCTTCCTAAGATGCATTTCTTCCAAGTGAAAACCCCAAAATATATGTTTATAAGAGCCTCCTAATATTTTTTTACAAAAAAATAGGCAGAAAGGACCAAAACAAATTATGGAGCTTGGTTCATTCAAGGTGGCTTAACAGCAACAGACAAGACCAATGTCTCAGCAACAACGTACCACCTTGGACTGTAATCAGTACATAGCATTCTTCAAATATTGAAACAGGACAGTGTTTAGATCCTAGGTTTGCTCAAAAACACTGGAATGAAACAAAAAAATGCATTAGAAGAAAATAGTTGGCTACCACTTACATGTCTTCTGTTTGTTTGGAGCTGGGAGAAAAAACGTTACTAGAAGCTGTTGTGAGACTTCTCTAATTATACTGAAAGGGATAGATTGAAGTCAGATGTAACTATTGCCCACTAACTATAAAAAGGTGTACATTTGTGGCTTTTTTTTTGCAAAAAGTACCTTGTGGCTTCAGTGAGGAACTGGAAAACCTCCTCGCCTTGGCGCATCCATGACATCTGGTGCTCCACGCTTTTTTCCCACGTGTTATTTTCACTTTTGGCCATGTAATCAAACCTTGTAAAACTCAAAACTCAAAAAAAAAAAAAATTAAAAAAATGTCCTAAAGATGCAAAGAACATGCAGTACCAAATAACATTTGAGGCTGGTGTGGTAGAAGAAGAAAATGAATCAACAATTTGTGAATTACAGGTTTGACACCAATGGGGGAAAATGCTGTAAAACACTTCGCACCCTCAAATATTCACTATTTCCCTGTCTTTGCATGGGGCCAAGTTCTTGAGCTCTATATGCATCTACTCATTACAGCTCAACAACCTCAAATGCCAGTGCAGAATGACATTGACCAGTTCCTTTTTAAGTAACTTTCCCGGAAAGCCTGAATGTTTGCAGATTAACTCAAGGCTAATCACTGAACTTCCTCAGTGACGGAAAAAATGTTGGTCACGCTTACCTTTTTTTTTTTTTTTTTTTCAGTGGGGGAGGGGATGAGGGAAGACGAAAAACATTTGATTTGGCTTGAAGTAAAAGTGCATACTTCACACATATTTCTAACCAACCCCCCAAAACAGTCCCTGGCTTTGAACATGTTGAACAGGAAGCCATTTAGTGTTGGAATGCTTGCTTTGCCAGTCCAAGAAACACACATTCTTATTACTCCTGGGCTATCTAAAAACGTTCAGGGTGAAAAAGTTTAATTTATATGTAAAACCTTGTTTCCTGTTTTGTTTTTTTTCCCCTTGTGTGCCAAGTCTGTTTTTTAAACTCTGTGATAGGAAACACATTTCCCTTTTTCTCCCTTTCGTCTCACTTTATTTACCCAGCTGTATATTTCACTTCAATTTATAGCTTATACTCTTACCTGGCTTAAAGTCCAAAGACAGAATGAGAAAGAGGGAAAGATGGATGTTGTGTTTTCTTGGTTACTGAGGCCAGGGAAGAATCTGGGTGGAGGTAAAGCTGCCTTTATATCAATATCAAGGGAGCGGTGTATGGAGACTTTTCTTTCAGGATGGTCTACAGTATATGTTCAAGAAAGGTGAGGAAGAGGGCACAAGGAAAGAAGAGGCAATGCTGAGCAGTTTTCCCCCATTACTGATTGAACTTCTGCAAGTTTGCACTCTATTTACCTTCTCCAAATGAGATAGTTTTGCTCAGTTTGGAACTACTTGCACATAGAAGCATGAGCAACTTCTTAAGTTAAAGTAAAATAAAATAAAATAATTAAAATAAAATATAAATAAAATAAAATAATAAATAGTCTACAGATCGTGCGCCTAGTATAGATAGGTCCATATGCATGTACTCTGCGAGAGAATTAGCTCCCCAAAGAGGAAGAAAAGCCTTCCTGAACAAGGACTGTTCAGGAACAGTCATTCAAAAGGAATGGGCATTCAAAAATGAAATTGTGCACAGCTATTAAGTTTTCTACAATTAAAACCCAACCATTATGCACATAACTATGCATGTCTATCACACCTAAAGGGGACTACCAGGTCCACTACATTTTTGTAGTTCATTTCTGAAATTTTTAAGACTACAACAGCCTTTGAAATGGTTTGAGGCTTTTCTTTTCTTGCTGTCTCAACATCTTGATATTACCCAATTAAAACATAATAATAATAATAAAATAATAATAGAGAGAGACAATGCACCAAAAAGAAGCCTGAGACTGTGGCCTTTCCTGTGTGCTGCCCTGTGTATGAAATGATGCCAAAATGCCACTCTGTTTTGCACTACTCTGCCTCAAGAGGTCAAAGTATTTACATGAATAACCTCCAATTTAGAGCTTGGTATAAATGCAAATGATTTCTTCCACATCTGCAGCAGATCTTCTGCTTCTCTATACCTCTACTACTAAGAAAACCTGAGATTTCAATAATGTAGCTGGTGTAACTACAATATCTCTTCAGAGAAATCCCCATTTCTTCAGTGATGTGGTTGGGACACACAGGCTGCAGAGCACCTATACCTGCAGGAGGAGAAACCCTGACCTCACACGTGGCATTGCTGCTATAGTGTCAAGTATGTGAATGAAGAGATTTGTCCACATTTCTACCAATATTCCCAGACATACTGACTGGCACACACCAGCTGGAGTTGGGACAGAATCCTCAGGGCTATGGGGAATGCAGAAATTATTGAAAAAAGATGTGGCATTTGTAGCATTTTTTCCATTTTCCCTTAGGTCTGTGAGTGGTTGCTTCCTATAGGCTGGCGTACTCTAGGAAGCGGTGTGCTGAGGAGGCTCTTCTGTGTGCTGGCCACAGCAGGTCAAGAGCTTGAGGTCTTCTTATTTATTTATTTATTTATCTGAAGAACAAGAACAGAAAATAAAATTGTTCCTCCTCTCCTGCCAGCACCACACAATCATTGCTAGAGAGTCCCTGGAACAAAGTTCACACTGGTTTGAAGAACCATTCTACTTTTTCTCTCTCTAAGGATTTTGGACTCAGGGAAGAAAGGAGGTCTGATACTTCTCTGCAAATCACCTTGCTCAAGAAGGAAAATTGCTGAGTTCAGTTATTGACTTTTGGATATTGAAAATTCTCACCCATCCTCTGGTCAGCAGTATAAAAGGGTCTTCCATGGTCTGTCAGAACACTTGCAAAACCGAGTTTAGTTAGACTTTTTCTGACTAAATGATAAATAAATAAATAAATAAAGAAGAAGAAGGTATATTGTGCATTATTTTGAGGGCTGGATGCTAACAACCAGCAGTAAATGTATTTCAATGGTAACTGAATTCAAGAATTATGGTAGAGCAAACTGCTATTTGGAGCCTGGCTGTGACATATTATTACAATGAGGAATTGGCAGAAGTAGAATGAATTTCTTATCCAACCACTGTGCTTTTCATCCATCATCCCTTTTGTTGTCTGAGTAATTATATTTTTTTCTACTTAGGTATTCCTCAGTCTTCTGGAAATCCTTAAGTACAGCTCTATTTCTTCTCTGTTTTGTGAACTCTTTATTTCGTTTATGCAGCACCAGCTATAACCATATTGGGACAGGCCTTCCATGAGGGATTAATACTACAACAGGTAGCATGGAGTGACTTGTATACATACTCTCCAGGGCTGCACTGTGCAGCAACTCTCCTGCTGTCTTCTCTGGAATACACAGAAAAACATCGTGGCCCTAAGACAAAATTCTTGTATGTCATGGCCTTTCAGAACATTTCAGCCTGCTTCTTTGGTGTCACCATAGCATAATATCAAATTAATGCACACCATGCATTAATTTTCATTATACCAGACATGGTATAAGTCTGTCTGAGGATACCCAAGGGCATGAGTTTTCTAGAATAACAGGGGAAAATTGCATAGAGCTGAGCTGGTGGTTTCTGGAAGCAAATTCTCCCCAGAATAACTTGTGGGTTTAATCTCAGAAAGACTAGATTTATTCCAAAGGGATGCCTGGAACCCTGTTATCAACATAAGAATAAATAAATAAATAAATAAATAAATAAATAAATAAATAAATAAATACAAACGACCAGAGGTCCAGAGCCTGAAAACAAGCTGGGCACCTAAGTGAGAGTGAGAGCACCTGCAGCTCTGGCATTTCTATCTAACCTGTAACTCCCTCAACTCTTTTTCCTAATTAGCCACAGGTGATCCTGCAAATGACAACTGAGCACATCCCTACCCACTGAGAAGCTCTGAGTGATTCTTGAAAGTTTCCAAAAGGTTGGATTATTCAGGAGAGAGAATGTCTGTTTGTGCTTCCACCTACATTCCTTCAGCTTCTGACCTGTATGAAAATGAAAAGTACTTTAAAAAATAACTTCTTTCCAAACTTTTTTTTTTTTTTTAACAAACAACAACAACAAAACCCACAGATGATTAGAATTTGGGATGGGAAAGACTTCCTCTCAATAGCTCTTATTTTTATCCCAACAGAGTCATTCCAACCTTTGTAACTACTGTGCAAGCGGGATGAAGAGCTGGTGTCCTCCAGCTGCCTCCTCTCATCAGTGGGGAATGAGGGCCCAGAAGCAATGCTCTGACAGGCCTCCTGCTGTCTCAGTTGCATTAGCTTTGGCCCAACACTTTCAAAAACATCAAGGGCATGACTCTATGCTCAGCAAAGTTGTGGGTAACCATCCTATTGATTTCACAGAATTATCTAGGTTGGAAGAGACCCCAAGATCATCGAGTCCAACTTCTGACCTAACACTAACAAGTCCTCCACTAAACCATATTGCTAAAATTTCCATATTTGTTTGGTCTGAGTCAAAATGCACAATTCCTATGAAAGTCTTTGGAGTTTGCACAAAGCAATATCTGGAGAAACAGTGCCCAGAAAGGTATGGAGACTCCATAGAACAGTCTAATGAAACAGAAGGTAAGTCTTCCCAGGCTGCAAGTGGAAGCAGGTGGTCACACTGGGCCTTTGGGAGTCACTTAACACCAACTAAGGTGTAAAGCCCATACACTTACCCAGGAGTAGGTGTTTGCTGATAAAACCTAGCAAACTATAATCCACATTTAATGGTTAATGGTTTTGTCTAGCTGATACTAGAAAACCTACTGATAAGGGTTTAAAAATCCTGTCAAGCTCTTTGTAAGCTTCCTCAACCAAATGGTTTAGACTAATTAGAGAGCGTCACCATCATCTTTATTTCTGTGTTGGCATGAGCCTAGGAAAAGCTTCTTTTATATCAATTGCTATGAAAGTCTGAAAATTTAGCAACTCTCTTGCATGCACCAACTTAAATCGTGTCTGATCTGTGAATCCTGGCATACAGCCTGCCACCTCCAGGAGCTATGTTTCTTATTGAACTAGTCCAAAGACTAGCTGTCCACTGAAAAACAAAATACACCTTCCCAAATCCTAATGTTATTTTTTCCCCAATATGCCTTCCTTAAAGTTGACCATATAATGCAGTATGAAGCACTGAAGAATTTTCTAATTCTGTATAACTCTCTGTGACTGTAAGTCATCTTCAGTCTTACAGATATCTTAATAGAAAAATAGAAGGTTTATTTTTTCTGTTTCTGAGTTAAATAACTGCAGGCATTTAATGAGACCTCCCATACACACTGGGATGGTGGAATTATTATAATAGTTTCATGAAGTGGATTTTCCGCTATTTTCTGTTCCCTGACAAATTCAAATAGACTGACAAAGATGATCTTTGTTTGTTCTTCAGGTATTTGTGTCATCCCTATCCATGGCAGAGGGGTTGGAACTGGGTGATCTTCAAGGTTCCTTCCAACCCAAGCTGTTCTCTGATTCCATGAAGGAATATAGCAGAAAATTTTTATTGCTGCAGGTTTAAGACTAAATTGCAGTAACTAACATATATTCTGTCTCTTTCTGACTCTTGAACTTCCAGGTAAACAGAGATTAAATTATAAAATATTCTATTAATAGCTGCACTGTCTGATTACTTAACTCAATAAACTGAATTATGTAAATACTCAAACATTAATAAAGATGAAGCTGAAATGAAAACATCTGTGAAATTACAAAAATAAATAAATAAATAAATAAATAAGGCAATCCAAGGTATTGAAAAAATCCAATCTATAATTTACTCTGTGCTTAAGCTGTTGGTAAATTTTGTGTCAATGTCCTCCTAAATTGTAGAAGAAGTAAGTCTTCCAAAATACCTAGAATGGAGCCTCCAACCTGTCTTCCAGCAGCAAGGCATGGTAAAGCACACACAAGTTGTCATGGACAGATATTTGTCTAAAACAGCTCTTAGCATCTGTTCCAGAAGTCAATACCCCAATTAGGAATTTTCACATGAAATCTAATTTCTGTCTTTGCTGAGAATTAAGTGGATCTCTTGTCCTGTTCCCAAAGAGAAAAGAAGGGAAAACGCTCACTGTTCTTTTCATAACAACATTTTATATATTGAAGAATTATGTTAATATGTCGTGTCTTAGTCTTCCATTTTCTAGACAAAACAAAACCAGTTCCTTTACTTTCTCTTGTAGGTCATATTTTCTAAACTTAAAATTTTTACTCTCTTCCGAAATCTCTTGCCAAAAAAATTGTTTCATTATTGTAACTAGGAGCCAAGCAGAATAACATATTTGCCTCTCTTATCTTGCCATCTTAAAAATCACATTCCTCTTAATATAAATCACAGCTTAAATGTTTGTTGTTTTGTTGTTATTTGGTTAACCTTTTCATTCTTTTTTTTTTTTTTTTTCATTGAGATTGTAAATGCATCCTATTCTCATCCACACTTGCTTTGTATTGTACCAGCTAAAAATCCCCCCAGATCCTTTTAACCTTTTGGAAAGTGCTGAATCCATGGGTAATTTTCATGTAGCTGTGGTCCTCTGACTTGTTCCCTGTGACCTTGAATTTCAACATAAGTTGCACGTCAGCATAGCCAAGTCCTCACAAACAAGTTGCTATGCTCATCTGACCCTAACTGACTGAAGGATGCCCACCGCCTTTTTCCACAACAGGACCCCTTAGGCCTATTTCTACCCTCACACTTAGTATGCTGCCAAAACCACATTTGCCTCCCTGCATCCAGAAAATGCTGCACTCAGCCATCCTGGGGTGGATGAGCTCAGATGGCACAAAGCACGTAAGGACACTGCAGTACAGTGAGGCAAGAGGATAACCTGGGATGAATGGTTAAATAGTTTTTTAAGTAGCTTAATTATTTCTAACTCATCCATGTAGTAAATTATTGTAACTCGTTGCATGAAGACAGTGGCAGAACATTCAGTGGCCACAATCACTAACCAAAGTCTTGGCGAACAAAGATGTAGCTGAGCCAATACCAGTGATTTCTTTCTGTGTAATACATGGGAAGAATATTTAATGTACTTCAATGTTACCTTATTTCCCTGTGGTGGAAAACCAATGAAGTATTATTGGGTGTGTAACTTTTAAATGTATTTTTTTTCTTTTCTGCCAATGTTGTGGGAAGAGTAAGTAGCTTTCAAAGCATCTGGGTCATTAACTTCAGTTTCCTCAAATCCCAAAGCAGACTTTTTCAATTCTAGTAAAATTATCTTCATTTTTCAAACCTTACTTTATCTGTATGGCTGGTAATTCCCTCAGCTCTGTATTTCACCAAAAATAAGATTACTTTTATACAGTTAGTATAAAGACATTAGTATGTCTGCAAGAAAAATAGACTTTAGTTAATAATGCATCTATGGAAATTATGTTAATGTAGCTTACTGCATCACCTCTACATCAGTAGTAATTTACATTAATAATTAGAAATGGAAGTTGTGACTAGATTCTGAACAAGAGAAAGTGGTTTTTGATTTGAACCCAAAGGACTAAGAGGCATTTCCATTAATTTTGGATGAACTGTCAAAAAAAAAACAAAATTAAAACCGATACTGTATAATTTCCTCTGCTCCCTCAAACACTGGATGTTGATATTATTCCATCTCAATTTTTCAAGAGGGTTTTTGTTTTTGTTTTTTTTTCTACTATATGTAATAATGATGACACTCCTTTTTTCAAGGAGATTTTATGTTTTGCATGAGTGAGTATGCACATGCAGATGTGGACAATTTCATGCGCATAGTGTGAGACTGGGTTTCTGTCTGTATCAGTCTGTGCTTTATGACAAATTCTACCTTTAGAGATTTCTCTGAGTATCCTCCGTTTCCTTCTAGAACCTAACTCACTCTCTCAAAAAGCACTAGGTATAAATCCAAGAAACTAGTGTCTTTCTGTTAAACCCTTGACTGTTTCCCATAAGTAATAGTTTGGGAAACAGGCCTTGATAAACATTTTAGTTTTCTCTGAGTTCTGTGTGTGTCTGTATATATATATATATATATATATATATATATATATATATGTATGTATGTATATATGCAGATATGGGTATATTAATGAGTTCATTGTTTATTAAGGTGAAAAAAAAATCAATGAATTTGTATATTAATGATCTTGTTTATTCTTACTTCTTTTTGGCTTGTGATCCTGGTGGGAATTGGGTTTCTTTAATGTTTTATTTATAGTTTATGCAAACATTACAATTTTCATTGTATTTGCATCAACTCATCCTGCAGAAGTCCTGTAAGTCTCAAAATAAATAGTTTTCTGTGTGTTGTCAAAATTCTATTTAAAACCAGTTAACATTTAAGTGTGGTTCACGTTTACTGTCTTTCAGTGACTTCCCATCACTTGTGCTCAGTTTAGAAGTAAAAGGATGTTGGTGGTTTTAGCAGAAAGTAAGGCAGGGTTCTTCCTGGTTCATGTATCATCACCTTTAAACCAGCCTCAGTTTCACTATGATATTACTGTAGAAAATTAGGGACATCTTGAGAAGCACAAATACCAGGAAAGCACCACAAGGTGCAAATCATTTATAATAACCAGACATATTATTTTTGATGGGGTAAGTGGCAGTGCACAAAGGATAAAATGACTAGTGTTTCCTTATCAACCACACACATAGTCCCTGGGATTGAAAGATAAACAGTATTTTAGCTGTAAATGGATTAAAGTTTTTTTAAGGCGTCCTGTTTTCAGAAGACAAAAACCATGGTGTATAACAGCATTTTTAGAGAAACACTGCAGAAGGAAGTTAAATTTTGGTGTAGCAATAAACACACTGGTTGAGAGAAACACTTCATGAGTACCTGCTATTATCTACCAAATACAATAAATCTGTCCCTGGTAATGCACTTCACAGTTGTTTTTCTTTTGTGAATACATATATCATTAACCATTACTACATTTGTCTGTGTTCATGTAATGGATCCAGGTTTTAATATCTTGAGGTTTCCTAGAAAACACTGAGGTGAGAATGGGTAAAGTAGTTTCAATGAAATAAAAGACCTTTGCCTTTTCTTAGAATCAGTACTGTCCACAGCTTGCCTTGCTTTCTGAAATATTAGGTTGGTCTTTTTTACAAATGTTTTTCTACGCTTTTGTGCTTCTAGATCTGGGATAGACATGGAGATAAATGTTAACAGTACAAAAGAAAAGCTGAAACTTTGGTAGTGCCAACTGAAACCAGAAGTATTGGATATATGACAAGAAAGTCTTATATCATTTCCAGTTCAATTTTGCACTATCAAGATGTTTGAGTCATTTAGATACGGTCTGTATAGAAGTCTGGGCTCTCTGATGTGTGTCTGAACTGAAAACACAAATTAAAATGAAGTTGCCAATGTTCTGGGACAAAACTATTTGGCCACTGTGTAAGTTAAAATGTTATAGGAAGAATATTCTAAAAACTCCAGTATCCAGATGTTGTAGAAAACCGTGGTTGTTTGAAATTCCATCATCAACCAGCTTTTTGCTAAATGGATGAATAAACTCCGAATGTGAAAAAAATCTCACGAAGGCAGTCTCTGTCCCTCATCTATTGATGAGCTACCGAAATATAGGTAACATATTATAAGAAAAAGTCCTGCTTGAGGCTCCAAGGGGATAGACTGATGCTTAGCTAGGAGTCTTTCTAGTGACCTTGTTGAATTTTGGATCAGCCAGAGAAGTCAGTTTATGTGTATATTTGAAGATCAATTCTATGTTATTTTCTCCCCCTTTTCCTTTGAGGAGGGAGTGAGAGAGCAGTTTTGGTGGAGTTCAGCTGCCCAGCAGGGTAAAATCACCACAACACTATGCCTTAGGATCTGCAAAAATACAGAGTTATAGATCAGAGAGAAGGAGAAATGTGATAGCAAGTAAGTTAGATGAAACTAGTACATTTTTACGGTTGCAGTTAAGAGTTGTTAAGCAGATGGCAATTGCAAATTTTCATCTTTCTGATATGGGAATGGAGATGTTTTATGGCTGTTGAAAGACAGGCCTTACAAACCACACTGTTAAGTATGAGCATTCAGTTTTTACTTTAATTTTCCCAGCATTCTATCTTTCCACAGGAACAGTACATGTATAATGTTTCTTAGAGGGGTATGTTTCACAATGGCTGTTTAGGTGCCTGAGCATGTCAGAAGACATGCCATTTCTCACAACTTGCTACATATCTCCTACCTGAAGTGAAACTTTAGTCCATTTTTACATCTCAGACTTGAATGAGGAGGAGACATGCATGATGTCTTGGTACTTCCTAGCTCTAGCTTGCCCTTGATTTTGCATCTTTTGCATAATAACAAATTATCACATTGTAGGTGTTTCTGAGGTGGACAGCGTAACAAATTAATTTCCCCTTTTAATGTTCTCTGTGTTACTACATTTTGAAACATTAGAAAGTCTGTAGTTATTCCACATTTCTTTAGTCTGTAGAACATGAAGTGAAAGTAAATGGAGAAGTGAATTCTGATGCATGTCTTTTTGAACACAATCAGGGCAGTTTTATTTCTCTCAGACTGAAAGTAGGTGACCCCCTGCACTGTTAGGACTCAACTCAGTAGCATATGATTTATTATTCCCAAACACCCACAGAAATGTGAGGCATGTGTTGCATGCTTGAAGGTATGGTAAGGTCTGATTATCAATCTGCCTTTATTCTGAGTAAAAACATATTAATGTCAGCATCAAGTCAGTTGAACAACTTACAAAAGGTTTCCAGGAAGCATCTTTCAGCTTTTGTTACAACTCCAGGAACTCTACCAGACACACAAATGCATATGACAACAAGTATGCCCTGTATTACTCAGTTACAGTCCATGAACTGTCATTTTTATAATTGTAAAGCAATTGCAATAACCCGAGTTGCTTAGACAAAAATCATGTCGGAAAATGTTTCTTTTGCATTTCCCAAAAGAGATAAAGGACAAGATAGGAGATAAAGGCAAGTCTTCCTCTATATGGAATGGGTTCTGATACACCAAGATTATCAGCAAGATTATCCAGATTTTGCACTCAATTTTTAAAATAGACCTCTGGTGTTTCTTTCTTCTTCCAATTAAACTCTTACACCGGGAAAATGTGGTGACCCACCTACTTCTCCCCTTCTTGCTGCAGTAAGATAAAAGATGGCAATAGATTGAAGAACAAGATGAAGTGGAGAAGAGAAGCCCATTCTCCTGTCCCATAACAAGCAGCATCTAGCCAGCACTGCCTCTGCAGATCTTTTCTTCAGGTGACTCAGTCTCCCACGTTGCCTGTGATCCTGGAAAAAGGGCTCACGCCAACTAACAGTCCAGATAATGCTGCAAATTCCAGGCTAATCAGGGAAATTGCCTATTCACTTGAACAACAGCCACAGGCCTGGGAGACGCCAGCCTCCAACTGCAGTCATGCCTTGGCTCATTAGTCCTATGTGCCCCTGAAACTCAACTGTCAAAGGGGTGTTGAGCACACAAAGCACTGGGCAGCATCTGAATTAAATTCCTGCGTGGAACCAAAAATAGAACACTTTGAGCCCCTTCTCTGTTGTGAAGAAAAAATGTCTGGACAAAGAAAAAATGCTTTTCTTGGTATTATTTAATGTGTTTTTCTGTCTAAAAAGCTAAAGATTTTTGGCCTCAAGGGGTGCTAGCCTGTTACCTTAGAGACTGTTTCTTTTAGAGGCAGTGGAGTGGCAGAGGGCATGCCTTTGCTGCTTACCTTGGCAACCATGAATTGCTAAATGCTATTCCCATGAATGCAAGCCTTTCACTGCCATTAGCGCTTGCCCACAGGTATAAACATTCCTTCATGAAAAGGTCCAGGGGAATGTACACTACGTCGATAAAAATCAAGACGACAAACAAAAGCATATTATATAACGGAGCAGTTATATAAAATTAGATTTTAAAACAAGACGTGTCTTTAATGACATTGATCCTGGACGCGGTCAAATTTCCTGTTCCATTTATATTCCCTACAGCCATACCAAGCAGTGGCAGCAGGGAAGGGAAGAAAGTGAGAAAGCTCGACAGGATATTCTTGTTTCTGTAATTGCAAAATGGAAGACCACTGCGTCTGTACTCAGAATAAACGTGCTGGATGGCCTCACAGGAATAGCACAACTCCAGCGGTCTCACTGCCTGGCACTCAGGCAGATGGACATGGGAGGAAAGTAGAGCTCCTTGGGGCCGTTCAGTGTCACCAGCTCCCCCCGCTCACAGGGATTCTTTATGGTCTAGCTGGGCAAACACTACAGGCAAAATTCTCGACGTGTTTACCTGTATAAAGCCCTTGTGCTGCAAAAACAAGAGATTTGTTGTATTCTTCCTCTAAATGAAGCTGTTGAGCGTGGAGGAATTAAGTCCTAAACTTAATTCCCCCCCTCCTCCTTCCTCCAGTCTCCATTTTGTACACTGATGTTTTTTAAAGAACAACATTTCCATGTCATTATCAAGTCAATTCACTTTCTCAGGTCTCATCAGATAGGACTTCCAATAAAAAAATAAATAAATAAAATCATCTGGTTTGGTTAGATTGTAGTGAAGCGTATTTTAGCAGTAGAAATCTCTTGGGAAAACAACACCACTGTGAGACTTTCCTCTAAATGCCGGTCAACAGGGAGCCAGAAACCAACTAATAGCTCCCATGGGCTGAAAAGCCCAGAGCTCAGCAAAGCATGAGGACACTATGGTCTTGATATGCCTATACAACAGCACCTTTGTGCAATGATATTGTGGTATTGTCAGGCAGCCTGGAGAAGGTTCATCCCGCCTTGGGAAAATCCATGTAGACGCAGTGCTTAGCACCGCACAGAGAAGTCTCCCTACCTTGCATCACACAGCCAGCAGTCAAATGGGCTCTTGAAAGCTGACCCTGATGCAAGGGCAGAAGGAGCAGGCTCTGGATGGCTGCTCCAGAGCAGCGCAGCCTTGAAGAGCTTCAGCATCACTGCTGAACAGTGATCAATGCAGTGGTCAAACCTATTGGAAAATAATGTGAGGCTTTCCTGAAAACAAAACAAAACAAAGAAAATACAAAACAACCAAACAAAACCGTTTACCAATACATCTCCAGCATGCAGATTTTAAAGCCAGATTTTAAAGGAGGGCTTTGGAAGGGCTGGCCAGCTATCTGCAAAGCTTCTGCCCCAACATCTCCCCTTACCCTCATACCTCCTGACATAGAGTCCCCCCCACACACACCTGGCATCGAGTGCTTTCAACCAGCACACAGCACGCTGTGAGCACCAGCCAACGACCCAGCCTCCTCTCCTACTGCAGCGGTACAAGCTCAATGCTGCTAATCAGTTAGTGCTGGAGCTTTGGGCTTCTGCTGGTTTCACTGGGGAACAGCTGTCCTCTGCGTTCTAGTGGCATTGTTGATCATAATGCCACTTTTACCCTTGTAAGAATGGGATCTTTACAAATGTACTTAAGTGCTTCTGTTATCCCACCATTTCTTCTGCTACTTTATTACACAGGCTTTTATTACAATTTTGTTAGGGCCAGAAAAGGTTGAATCTTCAGTCAAATCAGCAGAACAAACATTCCTGGTGCATCATTAAGAGAATGAGGAACCACTTCCTTCATATTTTAGAAGAATAAATTTTTCATAAATGTTGATATGGAAATACATGGAACAGAAATGCCCAAAGCCAGGGCCATGATGCTGTAAGAGGAAACAGGTGTGGTGCTGCCCTGCTGGCCATGAAGCTGCTGGGTGTCACAGCAGACAGCAGTGCTCTCAGGACCTGGCTGAGCCTCGGCCGCTGCAGTGTGCCATGGGAGCATTGCAACGGGGGCAGAGCTCTCGTCCGGCTGCTGCCCTGAGGTCTGCCACACCAGGCAGGTATGCCTGTGGGTTGGATCTGCTGTTGGGTCTCAGGGACATTCAGGGGTGTTGTCAGGGTCCAAAGACCTCATCCTAAAGAGATTTTTTATGAAAATGCAACCTGGAAAACTTGAAGAGCACAGGACTTACTCCTGCTTGAATTCAAGTCATCCAAGAGATTACTTGTATCCATCTGCATGCACATAAATCTAACCAACACAGGCCATGCCAGACAGGAAGAAATAGACACTAACAAGTACCTAACTTTTGGTCCCCAGCACAGTGAATGTCCTCAGCAGCAGCAGTAAATGCAAAAACCAGAAAGCTATTCATGGACTTCCAGACTGAAATTACCTTTCTTCACAAAACAAATCGTGTTGCTTTCCAGGTGCCTGTCAAGTGAGAGACAATGTTAGTTAAAGGACATTTCTACAATCCACAATTCCCAACTGAGGAAACTTGAAAAGACATTTAATTTATGAGACATGAAGAAACAGTGAAGCAATGTAGTTGTGAAATCCATTAGTACATACAATTTTCAAGGAATGCTGAAACAATTGGGGATGCATAGAACAAGCTTAGCAACTTTACAAACTCAGAATATTTTCTGTGTAAAAGCTGTGGTATATTTCAAGAAAACAATCCCTCCAAAATGTATGATATTTTTCCTTGTTTTTCCTACACTAACTACATGACATTGTTCCAAGCACTTGGATTTCAGTTCAAAGTAGCAGAAAAAGAAATATGTAAATTAAATAGATTAAACAAAATAGTCATGAGCATTTCTGAATTAAATATACATTTAAGAAAAATCTTCTGTCTCATAGTTGTGTCCAAAAACCATTCCTTGGATTGTTTACTGAAGCCCTTAATGTATGCACTGAGAAGGCTAATATGAGCCCTTCAGGAAAGAGAAAAAGAGGAGAAAGAAATGAAAACAATCAGGAGTACCTCTAAGCATCCACCATCTGGCTGCTGAGCTGGTAGCAAGCAGACTTTAATAGAGACTGTTCAAATTTTTAGTCAAAACCATCACAATTCTGTTCCCTTTGAAAAGTTTGGAGGGCTCAGACTTGGGGTCCCTTCCTTCCTCTTCCCCATGGCACCCTCACCTTGTTCCCTTGCCTGATTCCTTTTTGAAAGCTCAAGCTGATGGTTGCTGCTGTTTCTTTTCTGGCAAGGAGGAGCAGCAAGTGTTTACATCAATGAAACATAAATGTGGGCATGTAACACCATCAGGTATCAAACAAAATGAGCCAGATACTAAACAAACCTGGGGACTGGTAGTGGAATACGGACAAGATCAAAGTTATCTATCTAACACAAGCTTTTCAGCTGTTTCCCAGTCATGCCATTGCAGCTCTACTGAGTGACAAGAACAAGAAATTTCCTCTACAGGAAACACAGAGAATAAGGTCAGATACTTTTTAGCTGAGTTTCTATTGCATCTCTTTTTTTAGCTGAGTTTCCTGCATCTGGACTGTAAATTCTTGACATAATCTACAACTCCCAGAATAAGACAGTCATGACTTGCCTTGCCATGCTTTGCCTTTCCTTGCCTTGCCATACCTTACTTCCCTCCCCATAAAATTTTCCTCCTTCCCCAAGAGAGGAATTAGGTACGGTTTGGTACCAGCCATGACATTTTGGATTTCAGTGGATGGCTTTCCTCAGCTCTGCAGCCTTTCGTCAGGTGGTCCTAAAGGCAGCTCAGCCCCAGCCTTGACCCAAGAGCACCCACAGGATCACCAGGTCTGGTGTCCCTGGCTGTGACATAGAGTGTTAGCCTACAGGGTATAATAGTCTGGGTGTGTGAAATCAAATAAATAGGTATAATTTCAGGAGCAGCAAGTACTGGTGGTTTTGGTTCTTTAAGCTGAACACATTCATGTTAAAGGCCAAGTGTTGCCAGTAAAAGGACTATGCAAATTAAGGGATATTTTTTTCTTCTAGCATGGTGAAATTAAAGAAAAGCTAAAATTAGCATTCTAACACAAGCTTCACAGGTCCCAGTTCTGCCACTACAGAATGAATGTGCTGAAATGGAGGAGGGAAGAGGGGGGGACCTCTTATTTCTGGCAGAGTTGTGAAATGCTGTGATTATTAGGGAGCAGCAGCAAAGTTCCCTGGAATTAGCTAGCGGTCATGCATCTCTAGCTAATCATGTTTCAGCCACTATGAACAGCTCGTACCCACTGTGAATACACCAGGGGAGCAGCCCTCATCTCCTCCTGCCCAGATTTTTTGGCTGGCTGGACGTTCCTGATTATTTTCTTCCTCTGCTCACAGTAAACCTCCTCTAATTTATCCACCAACATAACATGTCAGCTTCCATTGTAAACCAGTGGTCACAGTTGAAGGTATCAGTGCAGATGGCACACAGTGATCCTCTTATACTGCTGTTCCAAAGTCACCATCAAACATTCCTCATCTGAAAGTAACCGTAGCTAATTGTGCCGCTGATTTATGTCAGAAGTTATTGTGTTACCTAGTCATGGTTAAAAACACATCTTACTCTGAAAGTTTTGGACTAACATGAATTCTTGATGCTAAATACCACAAGAACATGCTACTAATTTTAGCTCATCTGGTGGCTTACTTTAATCACTGCCGCTATAGTGAAGTCGCTGCTGGGATGTTGGACAGCAAATATTTAACAGCACTCTATCATGCTATGTGAAGGTGTAGGGCACAAATTGAGGAAGAATACCATATCCAGTGGAAGTGGCAGAGGAATGCAGTAGACAGAATGTAACTACTTGCCTAGGAAACTGAAGCTAGCACTTCCACTCCTTTAAAAAATATATTTTTAGACTATAATAATTAGTCTAGGTTTCTTTTCTAGGTGCACATTGCATGGTTAGAAAGTAGGCAGGCAAGTTAGAGTGAAAAAAAAAATTAAAAAGCAACAAGAGAATGAATGTTTCTTGAATTTCTATTAAATTCAAGCTGATGTTAAAAAAAATAAAAATGTTGTGACTAAGAAAAGCAAAATGGAAATCAATGGAAAATAAGACTTGTTTTGAGATTTACACATTTCTGAACTTCCAGAATCCAGAGTCAGAAGGCAGAAAGAACCTGAGGTGCTTCTGACCCAGGGAATGCTAGACTCCATAAGAGTGCCTTTTTCTCCATAGGATTTAAGACCTGAAGCTAGACTTTCATTTGGAAGCAGTTTGCACATTAATTGATATTTTGATGAGAGCATTCAAATGTTCATATAATAACCTGGGAATTTTTGGATGCCCTTAAGTGCTGTGGGGAAAGCCTTGAGTCTATGCTCATTAGAAACAGCAAAGTCTAGATCCAGAAAGAGATTCGGAGGCAGTGCTGCGGGGATGCCTGGTGTTGAGGAAGCCAGTGATCAGTCCTGTGATGCTGGGCTGCTACATACCAGGCACTGTGAAGGACATGCCTACAGGTAACCACATCCATTCTCTGCACTGCTGAGGCCAACTCCAAGCAGCAAGCCTCTCTATCTTGCAAACAAGAAAACCATGAGGACATGCATCAATGTTAACTCTATCCTTGGTGGCCCAGGTTTTGCATTCAGAATTATTGCAATGGACTTTCCCCTCTTCAAACCAAAGTCCCAATCTGAAGGAAAAATAGCCTAAATTTCAACAGAGAGCACAGATTCCTGGCCGTGCTTTGCAGAATTAACCACAGGACAGTCTCCAGTGGTCTGGTGGACATTTGCACTTAGGTTGTAAGTGGCTGATTACTACTCACCCTGGTCCTTCAAAAGTGGGAGAAATGGGCTCTGCTCTTCCCTGTTTCTTTGGAAAGTTCCCAAACAGCAGGTTACAGACACTTGTCTTCCCATACACTTGGACAGCCTGTGCAACAGAAGAATAGATTATCTCAAAGTGATGATTTGTACTCTATGTGTAGAGTATGAAGAGGGGCAGCCCTCCAAGCTCACCAAAATCCCTTGGGCTCTGGAAGCAGCACAGCTAAAAGAGCCAACTGGCTTCAGCATAGCACCACACAGAGGTAGCAACCCTTCTTTTACCCAGAGGCTAACTAGGGTGTGCAAGCCATGCATACACACTGTAGCCACAGGACAGCAGGGATATTTGCTTTCAGTCACTGCTCTGGTTGTCAGTTTGCTGTGCTGTCAGATGTTCCACAGGTGTTAAAATGTGGTGTTTTGTATCTCTACAGGCTGAAGACAAGCTCATTATCCATTTGAACACTGTGGTATATACCTGCATCAAGAAAGAAAACTAGAGACTGAGTAGATGAGCCTCAAATACGAAAATCACTTTGATGATATATCATATTTTAGGCCTGCTTCCCTTCACAGTGTTCCAAAAAATCAGCCTTAACAGAGACATTTACAAGCACTGAGCATTTAGAGGCAGAAAAGACCACTTTTATTCCAGGAAATGGAGAGAAACTTTCCATGCACACACACACGCTCATGCACTCACAAAAACTCCTCAAGTATAACTTGAAGAGAACCAGCACTATCGCTCGGCTCAGATCAGCCAGAACCACTTCATTTTGATTGAAGAGAGGAAAAACAACAACAGTAAAACTCAAGCCACTGGGTTCCACAAATTGGGCCAAGTTCTAAAAATAGAAACACTTTCTTATGGAAATAAATACAGAAAAGAAAGAAAGAAAGGAAAAAAAAATAAAAAGAAACACACCAACAACCAGCCTCCAGAAGATCTGAACTGTTCCCAAAATTGTCTGAATTTGGTGCCAAGCACACAGGGCAGCCTAATGCTTAGAAGTTTCTCATGCCAGTGCTGGATCTCTGCAGGAACTAAGGAACTAGTGACTGGATGTCCAAGACTGGGAAGTGACTGTGAAAAAAACAAAACAAAAAAAAAAACCAACACTGTTTTCTAATGGACAAGCTGCTCAACCATTTTAACTGTTGCTTGAATGCTTGTCTTCAGGCAACACAATGTAAAATCTTCCCTTGGCAAACCAGCTGCTGAGGCTTCCAGCCTGACACGGTGCTGCAGGCTCAGCCTCCAGCAGCCGGCAGCCTCCTCCCCACAACACAAAGAGAAAGGCAGCAGGTTTTCTGCTCACAAGGACACAGTTCAGCTCCTCTGGTGAGGCTGGCATCTTGGGCAGCCTCTGCCCACACGCATGGGGCAGCTCGTCAGGGTGGCACCGAGCCCTGCTGGGTGCACAGCAACCCACTGGCTTCTACCCCAGCGCTAAGCAGAGAACAGCAGCTACACAGACAGCACACACAAGGGTGTGTGACAGAGCTTTCGCCTGAATGTAACAGCATGTTTTCTTTCTACTTCTGAAGACAATTTGGACTGCTTTTCATTGAAATATCTTTCTCCTAGAGACCCCAGTTTATTATGGATGGATTCCAGCACTTACAGTCCTGAGCACAACTCTTTGCTGCTGAAAAGAAACTCGTGACAATGCAGCAGGCAAACAAAGGATACCTTAAAGTGTGAAGTATTCTTTCCACACTCACACAAACACGGCAGAAGTGGCAGGTCAAGCAGCCCCATGAGCTCAGTACGTGCCACACGTTTCCTCTCTGATGGAAAGGGAGTGGTTCAAAGGAAGCAGAGCAAAGTTCCAACACAGCTTGGGCGGGCTCTGACTCCGATTTCTGTTTTGAAACCTTGCCTACATTTCACTGGGTATCACTGATCGAGAACGGATCTGCTTTCTCACAACAAATAACTCCTGTCAATTATTTGTACTGCAGCAGGGCCTGAAATCGACAGTCACGGGCCCAAGGTCTTGTTCTGTTCAGTGCTGTACAAACTTAGACATGTTTCTGCAGGGCTGAAAAGGCATGGAGATGTGCTTTCAGTGAAATTTTAAGTATTCCGAGAAGAAAGGCCAATTTCTGTTTTCCTGCCTGCACTGTTCAGAATGCACAAAACACAGAAAACAACGTTAAGAAAGTAAGTAAAAAAGCAGCTTATATTTACCCTCTGAGACTCTCTATTATCTTACTAAGAACCAGGCAGTAATACAGCTCCTTATGATTTTGCTTTCATGTTTTGCCCAATCTCAGGATATACAGTACTAAAAGAACATCCCCCTTTCAGGGACAGAATACCAGAACAACTGCTTTCTGCACATTGTAATGACAAGAAATGCAGGCCTTTAATATCCAGGCAGGAAGACAGCATTCAGGATTTACACAAATCACTGGAGAGCTTTTGACCTGAAACGTCACTAATGATCTCCAGCAAACGAGTTCTCAAGGGTTTCCAAACCTGCTTGTCCTTCTATTTCTCTCTAGACCTATGGCCTAGCAGATGTTTGTCCCAGACACTTGAAGATGGGGCCTGCAAAGATCCTGGGAGGGCAATTCTACCTTCTCCTTCTGTAATCCATACCAGCCTCTGGTACTTTTGTGAGGCATTTCGCTTGTTGTCCAATGCAGTCTCGGTGTTTCTGAGTGGTCATTTGCCTTTTCTATTAAAGATTAAAAACAAACAAACAAACAAACATCAACAACAACAACAACAAAAAAGTTAAAAAAAATCTTAGTAATACAATGTTATTTAAACTTTAGCAGTTTTACTGATGCTAAACAAGCTCCATTGTAACTCTAGCAGTTTCCATATAAACTCCATATCCAGTTCTAACTTCTGTTTCCTGAAAACTTTTGCTTGGACAGCAGGGTAAGCTATTTTCTTACTCTTGACACAGCTGAAGCTTGTAGAAGGAACATGAAGGGCCAGGACTTTTAAGGAAGCAAGGTCACTTATTTTTTCTTTTAAAAAGGGTTTTTAAGAAGCCAGATCCCAGCTGATTTTTTGTATGCCAAATACGAGAAATATAATATGAGAGAAACAGAAGTGCTATTTTGGGTCACATGAGTATCATATTCTGGACAATCCTTTTATTAGCGGGCAGATAGCCCTTTCTTGCCTCTTTTAGTATTTTCAGACTTCAGCCTCATACATTTCCACCACTGCTGAGAACGGGACATTTATAAACTTCCTGTCACTAAAAATTATAGGTAAATCTGAACTTGAACTTAGCTAGAAGCACATCACAAAGTGCAAAGCAGCAACTCACATCCTTGTTTAAAAACATGTTTTCAAAGAGAAGGTCAATATTTTTTGTATTATATTTATCTTCTTTCTAAATGCCTGACCCAAATAAGTAATCAAAAAGAATGAAAGCCTAAAGCCATCAGTTCAAATTTCATCATGTGATTCTATCCTGGTGCGTAAGAAAACACTCCATTAACTTAACAAGCAAAGTGTGCATTGGAAATGTTATTCTAAGCATTTAATGGAGTTACATAACTCTTGTGTGTTTGCTACAGATAGTAAAAATAGTCAAGAAACATTGCTTAGTAAAAAATGCCCTTTTATTTAAAAAATAAAAGTTGCTTACAGTTTTCTCAGACACTTGTATCAAAGTGTTTCTGATAAATATTATCAAAACTATTTTACATGTTTAATAAAAACAGTTATTAAAAATAACTTCTTTAAACATGGCAAAATAAAAATTGAATCTTTCTTTGGAAAGTTTTGCTTTCCAGACAGCTACCACAAATACCTTTACTTCAGAGTAGAATGTGGTAAAATTTGATTATTCAAGAGTCTTAACGATTCAGGCATTTTCTCCCCCATCTTTGTAAATTTAAGCACATACGTAGGTTTTGAAGCTTTCATATGATTTCAACCACTAAGAGAAGCCCCTTGGAACTAAGACTATGTCTCTACTAGGCACAGCTCTGACGCCAAGGCCAACCGAGAGAGCGAAGGAGCATTTTTAATTACAGCACTACCCTATGCATTTATGATTACTTAAGTGCACTTGACCCCACCAGTTGTCTAATCCTTCCTTTTAACTTCTCCACGGTCTATTAAACATCCCCATTTACAAGACTCTCTGCTGGAATCAAACACTTGCTGGTTGCAATGTCTGTCTTTCCTGCTTACAATGTTCTGACAGCCCTTAACATATTCCAGTCCAGATTTGACCTCTCAACGGTATGCATCTAAATTGAGTTGATCTCACTGACAAAGATCAAGCTGCTACTTAAAGTGTCTTGTGGCTGGATTTTCCAGCAGACGTACAACTTCAAGCTGAAGGAGACATGAAAGGCTGCATGCAGCTGCAAGCAGTATTAGGAGGTAGGAGAACAGTACAAGTCTCACATTATCTGAACAGCAAGTGCTACAGGGAAAAGGGAAAGGAAATGGGCTACAGATTCTTGGCTCCAGCGTAAGCCCATGCCTAGAATGCATGATGATGACACTCACCCATGCATGATGGATACTCTCCTGTGCACTACTCATGCATGATGATGATGTTATCCATACTAGATAACAAGTTCTCTGAGTAGAAATTGAAGATTTTATGCTATCTCCCTTCTTTATGGTGCTGCTGGATTCAGTTGTACTAATGGCTTAGAACTTTTCTAAAATACCATGAGAGAAAACAACTTCCCTACAAATCCAGGAGGTTCATCAGTGCAACATGCAGTATAGGACCTCTGCATGGAGAGAAAATTTCCTGCTCTCAAGCACATAAAGTAATTTATGAATGTTGTCCTGAAGGTGATTGCCAGCTGACATTAAAAAAAAATAAAGAATATAAAATCCCTAACCTTTTCCACTCAAAAGTCACAAACAATGTAGACAAAACCACAGCTTGTGTGGGGAGATGAAGAGGCTAGGCAAACAGCTGTAACATTTGCAGTTATATCTGTGTTTTTGTTATTTGTTTACATTTATTTTCCTTTGAAGTAATAGCCTCTTCTTTTCAGACGGGTTTTGCTGCTGATGTCCTTAATAAACTTCAGTAGTATTCTAGCAGGGAGAGGGAAGAAAGCTCTTGATTGCATTTTCTTGAAAAGCCTGTTTTGCCATCAATGTATTGGAAAGCAACCAGTAACTATCTTTCTGCAGGGCCTATAGAAACAGAATTAATACAAGAGAAGTCTTTGAAATAATTCTTGCAACACCAGTGTAAAAGAAGCTCATGTGCTTGCCTGGCAAGCTTTTTTGGTCTAATGCAGCAAGAATGTACGTCTTGAAAAAGATGATCCATTTTCCAGATAATGTTTTTTTTTATTTTTTTCCATGTTTCTAGAAAAGAATCTATGCGGTTTATATTCTGGTTACCTGAATGAGAGAACACCGATCCAGAAAATACTCCCATTATTTTCAGTGGATTAGAAAAGGTAATGCCTGTCTTGCAAAACTCTTTTAACTTTCCTCGCTCCTCTCATTTTTCTAGCCATCATTTCTGATATAGACTCAGTGACTCTGATCTTACACAATGTAAGTTTGCCATTCCTCAATTTCTTTACCTACATCCAGTTTCTGAAGAAATGCATAGAGCTGTCATTCAAAACCTTTGTGCAGTGAGTCTAAGGAAAAGAAACCTCAAGGAAAACAAATATCAAGGAAAACAAAAACAGAGGCTTGGTAAGATCTCACTGGGTAACTGAGACTTGGGACAACTAAGGCTTTCTTATGTTCGAGTGCTAAAAAAGATACCTCTTATGGTATGGTAATGGAAGGGAGAGATGATAGATAGTGACTCATACCTAATCAAAGCAGTGATAATCAATCATAGAATTAAATTTAGATTTTAACAAAACAACCCAAAACAATGACTTTAGATTTCATTTTACAAAGCAAGTACAAAACTAAGAAATAACTAAGATCCAAACTATCCTGGGGTGTATAGGAGAATAATTGTTCTGTGGTATATCCTAGCTGTAAGAAAACCACTACCTCATTTCAAGAAATACTTATATATATGTATATACAGCACCCACTGAAATAACATATCCCCTAAAAAAATGTTTTCTTCACATGTAACACAACAGACTGAAGAGTTTTAGTTATCCTCTCCCAGTGTTCTCCTCCCTGCCAGGATACAAAAACCTGTGACATTTCAATTCCATTGTGCAGGTAAGAATTTTCAGTACACAGTTGCTTGCCTTGGGGTAACAAAATCAAGTTGGTAATTTGGTTGTTAAATCAAGAAGGAAGGAATGTTATTTCAAGGTTTTCTAAGGCTTCTGTATAATTGTCAGTCCCTTAACTAAGTCTGATTTTCTTCCAAACATACTGTAGGTTTTGGAATTTGTAGTAGAGATGACAAATTTTTCTAGGATTTATTTCTCCCTTCAAAAGGTATTTAAACTGAAGTACCTGGCTAGTGCATGGCAATTACTGCTTACTGAATAAACTATCTTGCTAAATCCTGTGTTGCACCAGGTGTCCATCAGTCACTGAGCTGAAGGAAATCGAGGTTATTTCTAGGGTTTCCACAAAAGATGTGTGTAGACTTAAAACTTCAGCACATATTAGGTAAGCTGTTCTATTGTTTCTGAACTCAACATTTGAACAATACTATTGTCTTCCTGTCTGCTTTAAAATGACACAGGGTGTCTGCATAATGACATTTCCCCCTTTCAACAGTATAAAAGGTGATGTCATCTCTCTGCAAGCACACATAAATCTGCTGGAATTACATATTATGAAACATTTGAGGCAAGACATCCAGTATCTCTAGTATGAGATTCTTATGTTGTAGAAATAAAATGAGGAAAGGATTAACAGTATCTAAGTTACTTAATAGCTCAGAAATGTAGGCAGAGATGATCTACCATACAGATTTCTTTGCACTCAGTATGACTAAATCTTTGACTAATTTAAACATTTTAAAAGCATTTCATGTGTATCTCATAATTCCAGGAACACAGCAAGCATGTTGCTGCATTGCCATTTGGATGTTTTAAGTGGTAAATCCTGGACTCCATGTAAGCATCTGCTTCCATTACAGTTGGCTTGGTTCCCAAGAACCAAAAATCTCTGCTTTTAAAAACTTCCTCTAGTTTCTTTTGAATTCTTTTAATAAATCTTATGGAATATATTTCATTTGCATAGAATTACCACATCCATTTTACTCTGACTTCATCCTGGGAGCATCATCTTTCAGGATGAAAAAGCAAATTAATTCTATTTTACATTATTAAACTCAAAGTAAACCGTCAATACACCAGTCTCTGACCTGAATTTCTTCTGTCAGAACCAGAACCAAAATACTGTGTGACTCAACTACTGAGACTATCTTCAGTAATTTCATTCTTTGCTGACTTGTAGATAAGACAAATAATAATTAATACACCATAGTACATCATAACAGCTGCTTTAGCATTTTTTACAGTTACACCCACTGAAAGCAGAGTTTTCTGACGAACTTAGACTGACTGAGCTAGTCTTCTTCCATCTTAAGACTGACGAACCTTCGAGAACCTATGGGAAAGATCCTTTGCCGCTATGATTCTTCATTGTTCCTCCTTCCTTTTAGTTCTCACTTTTAGTATTGAAGTGTTCATTGAAAGTTAGACCCTTTCTGCTCTTAGAACAGTGCAAAACATACCATCTTTTACTTAGATAATGACTATACATATCTGTTCCTTGGAAAAAATATATTCCAAATTTTCTAGATTCTTTGGCCAGTTGAATTTGTTGCTACTAAATTCCCTAATGATATACTTTGCCTGGGAATTTTTCTTCTTCCAGCCATTTTATTCTCTTTCAAGGACCCATGCTGCTTTGTTCATTTGATGTTCTACTTCAAGGAACCAAGCTTCACCCAGCTACAGAAATACAAAACAAGAGAAACAAAAAGTTATCTCGGTTCTTTCATATTTTTTTCTGCTGCTCTTCTTGTTATGTCATGGACCCCAAGAAGACCTTTTTCTTCCAACACTGCTTCTCCCTGTCTCTAAATCCCTTCTTCCTTTTGGGACAGTGTTCCCCTTTGAGCCTCCTGTCTCTCTACCTGGTACACACACAAGTGTTCCCTTCTGCTCATCTATGCCGTATCTCATACTCCAGCACCAGTCCTCCTCCACTCCAGTGCTATTTCTTCACAAAAACAGCTCAGTTTAACTGGTTGGCATGCAAAGAAAACTGTCAGATATATTACCTTCCTTCAGCAAGACTTCAAGGTGCAGTTTTAGCATAGCAGGCACAGTGAAATTATCAGTCCTTCAGTATCCACTTATTCACGGGAACATTCTTGCATTGTGTAAATGGGTTTTATACGTGTTCCCTCAGTTCTTTTCTCCATAGGTCTCAAGTTTAAGATTTAGCTGAAATATGTTAAATCAAACTGATGAATTGATGAGCACTTTGCTACTATGTGTCTCAGTCACCCTCATAAAAAAAAAAAAAAAAAAAAAGTTTTGCCACTGTGTTTTCTGCAGGCATAAGGAAGTAATTTGGCCTAGGTGATTCATTGTTTATTCCTGCCCAGATTTAGTGCTCACTATGAAAGAATAAAGATATTTCTTTCAAATGCCCAGCAAAACAACAGTAGCTGTTTTCACAGACTGAGTTTTGTGGTCATAAAGCAGTGTTGATACAGGAATGGAACTGTCAAGACTCAGTTTCTTTCTTCACATGCACAAATGTTCAGCATGTTCAAAACACACCATTTGAATACAGAACATTATTTTAAAAAAGGCACTTTTGGGAAGCAGCTCAACTGAATGGGAGTGCAGAAGCATAGCTTTGAAGAAGAATCCTATTTTAATGGAGATTGTCTCTATTGCTAAGGCATTCATCACTGCGGCCTGCAAGGTTACAGCAGTACATGAATACAACATGATCATACTGCATTTACAAATCCCAGGTACTACCCTGACTTTCTTAGTGCTGGTTCCACTGGGTCATGATACTTTTTGTTAATCCTGCACACATCAAAACATCTAACTAACTTCAGAAGTGGGCCCAACTAGGACAGCTTCTCATGGGGGACCCTGCAATGCAAGACCAAAAAGCAGCTTGTACACCAAAAGAAGTTTCTCACTGCATGTGGGCTTGTTAGGTAAGGAGTTCTTGTAAGGTGGGATACCGACTCATGCATAAAGCAGTCTGGTTCTTAATACCTGGACTAAATCATGAAGAACAGTACAAACTATGGTATTTAAATTTAGAGTAAATTGCAATTTTTAGTCATGTTGTTGCTGTATTCTCTAATATGCCACATGTGGTGGCTGAACCATCCAACATCTGGCCTGTGAATATGATACTGCCAAAGCTGTACTCGGTGGCTGCCAAACGGCTGAGCCCATGTGTGGCTTCACAGCTTGATATCCAGAGAGCTCAACTATGATTCAAATTCTGAAAAATCATCTTGTCTAAGGTTGCAGCATGATTCAGCAGTTTGGAGGAGAGCCTTCTTAAGAGGAAAGAAGAAAACAACAACAACAACACCCCAAAAAAGCAAAACAAAAACCACCACAGCTGACCATGTATGGCATAAAACTTAACAAAGAAGTAAATGTCTTAAACACCTTCACCTCACAGCAGAGCTCCATAACTTGACTGGTCAGCACAAAATATGGCTAGTTACAAGCACTGGGGGCTAAATTCTGCTCCCATAACTATGGTGCAAGCTAATTTCAATTTCACACAGTCTGTTTAAATATGAATACACACAAGCTACTCGACACGTCTCTTGCTGGCACTGTTTGAGGTAAGTTTGAAATCATTAACCAGGTAGAGAGCACACTTCTTTATGAGAGAAAGCCTCCAGTGGTATTCCAGGAATGCTGCTAGAGAGGAGGACTCAGTCCCTACCACACAAAGATGCTTGATTTATAAATGAATTAATGCTTGTGAACTGACAAGGAACAAAAAACAGGGTCCTGCACACACACACACAGAGAATGCACTGGAAACCCCAGTGTTGTGCTAATTACTCCGTGTGCTCCAGGGATGTTTACCCATACATAAAAGGTGAACACAGCTTGTAAAAACGGGGTGCCTACTGTCCTGGGACATGGAAGAGTTCAGCTGCTCATTCACATTGCAAAGCCTATTCCTCCCAGTTGGCTCCTTGCCTTCGTAAAGCTGAAAATAGCTAAACTGTGTGATTTCCTTCGTGCACTGATGGATCAGGCGGGCCAGCTCTGCCTCCAGCCATGAGAATGCTCGGACTTCCCGCTGTGCTTCTGAACACTGCCTGACCAGGCAGGTCACACACCGTCCATCCATCTGTACCATGCTTATTCTTCTGCTGACGATGCCTACATTGCCTTTGCCAAGCAGAGTGGCTTAACAAATATTCTCTATTCCTTACAAAATACATGCTCGGTCATTTGGGAAATAATAATTTTTTTAATAAGTGCCATAAATGCTGCCCCTGTTCAGGCTGAACAATTTGTTCAGCAGTACAAAATGTTGCTTTAGGAAAGCTTCCTTTTAATATAGTACATGAGATAAATGGAGCCTTTTTTTCTCATTCGCTTCTCTTTACCAGTAATTGAATGAAGTAGAGATTGTGAGGTAAAATCAAGCACATCTGGGTCAATTAGCATGGAAAGTCAATTCTTTAAAACCTGATGGATGCCTCTGGGAATCGTGCACTTCACAGCACGAATCTCAGTGCAGTGCTGCTCTCTCAGCAACTCAACTCAATTAAGCCATTACGTGGTTCTTTAAATTGGGGAATCTGGGGGAATTGGTTAATTGTCTGCTTGTCATGGTTCCTCCTCAGGGAGCATGTAAACGTCTTCTGTTTCTCCTATAGATGTGCGGTGCACATAAGAACAATCCATTTTAGCTGACTTATTCAAAGCTTATTTCTCCCGTGGGAAAATTAATCTTCCTCCTCAAATACTGCCCTGAAGAACAAAGCTGTCCAGTGGAAACAAACCATCCCATCAATACGGAATAGGTTTTCATTGATTACAGTCAGGTTTATATTCCTTATTCCTTGCAAGTCTCAAGTATTTCTCCCTGCTTTCACTTGATCATAACTTTCACAACCAACCTTCTCAGACTTGTGGTAGGGTTTCACCATTCTCTGCAGCTACGAAAAGCTCTGCAACACACATGGACTTACCTAATGCACTATAAGTCACCCACTGCCTTTACAGTCAGCAGAGGCTGAGCGAGCTGTCTAAGCATACATGAAACTCTGCACTCAGTGGGCAGAGCTGACCATCTCTGGAGGACAACTCATCCTGTGACCAGATAGGTGGGCAGAATGATGCATTGGGGAATGCTTATCTGCCTCCAATGAGAGCTGCTCTGAGTCCACTGAACCAAGGGATCCTCTAAAAGGATTGTGAACAACCAGCCTAAGGCAGATATCCCACTTCTAGAGTGCAAAAATAGTGAGATTAATCCCACCTGCATCACCCCACCACCGTCACTGTGACAACCACCCTGTAAAGACAGACTGCTGCTCCTGCCTGTCATCACATCAGTGAGCTTCTCTTCACGTGCACACAAGCAGCTGCCTTTCCCTTCTTTTGCTTCACATTTCAGACTGATGAACACCCAAAATCTCCAGCTGGCCTCAGTGGGAGACAGTTGCTGGGTGCTCAGGGTTGTGGAAAACAAATCACCCCATTTAGCCCCTAAATATGGATTTAGAAGGCTAACTTTAGATTCAGACTTTTTTTTTTTTTTTTTTTTTAACTTGGCACGGTACTAAAATCCATCCATGAGGCAAGTTAATTTTTTTACCATCAAAGAGAAGTAAAACAACTTCTCCAAGGTCATACAGTAGGATGACTAGGATTAGTATGCCACAAATTTTGTGTGCTATAACCAGAAAATTATTCTGCTTCCTAAATGTGACATAATTGGGACATAGTCTGATAAATGGAGACTGAGTAAGCCACACTAAATCTACTGATGTGTTCTGTAATGTCTGGATGTGTCCCCAACCCTAGCTATGAAAGGAAATGTAATTATGGTAATGGGAAAGTGCAGTCCGCCCATCATTTGGGTTACCACACACATACGTAACTATTTCAAATATAGAACTGCAGTAACATCTCTTTTACTCTTATCTCCTTTAGATAGCTTTTTCCTTCAGTTATAAGCTTGATGTCTTTTTCTCTGACAGGACAAACACTATTCTGGAGCATGTGCATTAGCCAAGGGCTGTCATATCATTCAGAGGAGGTGGAAGGGTTGCTCTGGTCATGAGAGCTGCCATTGGGGCAGGCACCCTCACTTGCCCACGTAGGTCTAACCAGAGTATTTGTTTGGGTGCAATGGTGGGGATGAAGGAGGAAAGCTAGGTCTGAGGAAGAAAGTTCAAGAAGGAGAAGAAGATCAGGAAGCCAGAAAATTATATAAAGCACCCTTGTGTTTTGGAACCTAGGCCAATTTTAAAAATGAGGCATATGGCTCTGCTGCAGTCTCATCTGTGAATGCAGGGCACTGTAGAGATTCACAAGCCTTATTCAGACAGCCTCGCTTGGCTCTGGGCAAACAGAACAGCACAGCACACAGTGTGGGCTAGCTCACACAGCTTCTGAGATGGCAGCTTAAACCAGTCAGCTCCTCAGGTGTAAAAGGGTAAATTTACACTGGCATCCTTAGAACATATCACTCACTCAGCTTGCATCATCTGGAGGACTTCTTTTCTTCAGAAGTTGTGCAATACGTACGTGTAACTTAAAAACTTGAGCTGCCGCCCCAGAGTACGTGCAAGGGTTCCTGACAACAAATCTTCTGGCTCTCCTGCCTGTCTGCACTCCAGTGACACAATGCCAGGCTATTTTCCTCCTACGGAGGACTGGCAGGCAACCATTTTTGTGCACTTCAGCTTGCCCTGGTTACAGAAAAGAGAGGAAATATTTTATTAACTTTCATCTCCCAAACCAGAGTGTGCTAGATAGCCAGACTTCTAGTTTCACCAAGCTTGGGTAAACGAGGTAGTGGCTTAAGTAGGTAAAAGAGAAGTGGCTTACTGCCAAATGTTTGCAGAAGCGTTAGAAGCATCTGAACTTTAAATTGTTAATATCTTTAGGCTGTCATGCCCCGGTGTTTATCACGAGCTAGAAGAGTATAAACAGAGGCAGCAGTGAATAGCATTAGAGAAAGGGAACTGTGACCTGCACATCGCCACACAAAGCCACCTTCTTGTAAGCGCCTTGTTCTTGTGCTGAGCAACGGCATGTAGCAGCAAAGTAATCCCAGCCTTGCCATGGGCAGCCAGCCCGGCGTTCTGGTGGCAGCTCCTCTAGCATCCAAATGCAGCCGCCAACCGGAGCTTCATGTCCAAAGGGGCTCTCCTTTCATCTTCCACCCTGAGCCAAAATCGCACAGTACTTCTGTTCTCTGAAAATAACATTAGTGCTCATGTACATGCACCTGGACCAATTGCCGAACTATTGTAGATTCAAGACACTTTATATCCTTTCTTGAAAACAAAGAAGCAAACAAACAAACATCACCACACAGTATTGCTTCTACCCTCTGCCTTTCTTGGAATTCATCAAGATTGTGCCTCATCAATCATGTCTGGGAGAAGAAAAATGGGGAAAGACTAGCACAGTCACAGAAAATTCAATCTAACCAAGTCAGCAGTGGCTTGAAAGCTTTTGGATGCCTTGTAATTCACACACAAGTAGTTCCCACAGTCCAATTTCTAATGAAAAGATATTTGCACACCAAAGTTAGTGCAGGTAGAGGCCAGTAACAGCTGAAAGGGGCCGGTAACAACTGAATTGTTTCCTGACGATAAGATGCAGCAACCTCTGCAGTTAAATATACCTTATCTGCAGGTGAGGATGGGGCAGATCATTGCATATCCAATGCATGTCACATAGCCAATGTATGACTGCCCTGCATGTCCTGTACTGCAGCCTTTCGTCCCAGTTCAGAGACTCTGCACAATGCTGCCGCCATGTTTATGCTGGGGCTGCTCTGGCGCAAGGGGCTACATGAAATGTGGCACACACTGAATAAAGACAGGCCTTCTTCCACAGCTGTCAGTAGCACCTTTGAAAAGCAGTATGTGCATCTTTAAAAAATAAATAAATAAAAAATAAACACCATAATAATTATAAATAAAAAAGGAACCATTTGCAAGAAATAAGAACTTCCTTTTCTTGCCTTTCTTCAAAAACAGCACTGGCACCCTCCAAGCCCCAGAGTAGCACAAAAATGCTCACATTGGCACTGCAAACACGTACGCCCAGAGGAACACACATACACATACCTACACAGACCCAAAGCCCTCTCCCCAGGAATGTGGCCATCTCTTTTCAGGTACGTACCAGCAGGAATGCATACACTGAAGAAACAGAGCAGGAAAAGAGCAATGTTTTTTTCACACAGACGTTTTTACTCTGCTTGCAGCAGTCCCCTCCTTTTACAGCCTCAGGCACGGCTCAATTTGGTCGAGCCAAAGGCAGTGGAGGCATGATGCAGATGAGACCACACCTTCCAAGCACCCTCCAATCACACAGAAAGAGAGCAGATGTCAACAAACCCACACCTTTGTGGGACCAGCCCCTTCTTCTTACATGTGGCAGTTTCCACTAAATAAGACCGCTCCTGCAGATGGCCAGCCTGTTTCCACTTGTAAGGGGTGAGCAAGCAAGGCCAACACTTTCCATAAACTCTGAAGCAAGGCTGAGAGGACTGTAAGCAGTTTTCCCCTTCTTCTGCTCAGAGAAAAGCTAGCTCCTTCCTTGAGAAGTGCTTTTGTGCTGTGTGTGGGGTATCAAGAGCCAATACAAATCTTCTCTCAGTCTTCACTTCAGGCAGTCAACAAATTGTTTGCCTACAGAATATGGATACCCATTCAAAAATGTGACTCCTACCTTACACTGACAAGCCTACTTAACCTCTCCACTGACATTAGATGCCTTCTTTGCCACTCAGCAGAATTCAGACGAGATCCTCTTGCATTTTCTCTTACATCCTTCTCTACACATGCACATCAAAACATCTCCAAAAGCTGATGTTGAGAATTTCCAGCCCAGATCAAATGCAAGAGGCTTGTCCTAAAAGGTAAAGAACTGAACTGCAGCCAGACTTCAGTATAACTTTTTCCAGATGTCAGAGCACACTCAAACTATCTCTAACATCAGTTCTGTTTTGGGACAACACGCAACATAAGCATCAGTAAAACCTTACTGTCACGGGACAGTAATTTAACTCCTTGGAAATGCTTAAGATGTCTGGGTTAAGAAGGCAAACAACTTGAAGGCATCCAGAGAGGAAAACCACAGTTCTGATGTACACTTCTCATAGCAAGGAAGTCCTGTAGAAACGAAAGAGGCAGACTCCAGCTTCCTAGAATAAGATATATGAGACATCATGAAAGTGCTTGCAATGGCACACACTCTAGCCAAAAAAGTGGTTTTTAATAAAATTGGAAAAGGGTGTATTGCATTCCCACAGAAATGGTAGAAACACAGATGTTGTCCAAGTTTAGAGAAGAAAAAAAAATAAAAATCCACATTTTTGATGTTTGCACCAAAAGAAAAAAAACTCCTTCTTTGAACATTTGATGGAAGAGTATTAAAAGAAATCATTATTATTATCATGGCTCCCACCAGCAATACAAGAGGCCAGGATCTGTCAACATCTTCCTTATAAATCCATCCTTCAATAGAATCTAAATTGGCCTGAAATAGCTAGTTGGGACCAAAATCTGGTTTGTGAGATTTCTGGAAACAAAACTCCATCTGGCTGTTTACAAAATTCTAGTCCGAAGAAAATGAGAGAGACCGTGAGAGAGGAAGAGGGATAATTTTTAGTGGCTAAAGCTATCGTGTTTGTGTTGCTTCACAGTGCTAATCAGAGATCAGCAACTGAAAAGAAAGTTTGGAATTAGTGCTGATGAGCATCCCAAAGCCGGCATGCACGTTCAGCTATCTCCAACATTTTCTTCTGAAGCAGGCAGCTGCCACATAAAACAGGCTGTCTCGTGATATATCTGGAGCTCACATTTCTTATGACATCCTGGACAAAACTCATCAAGGACCACAGCAGGAAAAGAAAGATTCCCAGACATTCCTGATTTTCAGCAAAGAACCATTTCATGCTTAGGCTTAAAGCTAAGCTGTCTAAACCAATATTATTATACTCATTTATTGAGTCAGTTCATTAGGTTTCAAGGGTAGCACTCAAACCAAAGGATAGATGCCATTTTCCTTTCTGAGCCAGCCTCCAGAAAGTACCTAACCCAAAGCTGTCCAATTCAATGGAAGACAGAAATACAGTTTCATTGCAAGTCAGATTTGGTAGATTTTTCATTTTATTGACTGAAAATACTTCTTCCCACCCACCGGTCCTGCACCACCGGTCCTGCACCATTGCATTCTTCAGTGGCTTGGTCCTCCTTCCCACACATGAAGCCCATCCCAGCTTCCTATTGGCTTCTGCAGACTTCTTCCACACTTCAACTCCCACAGCTATAAAACAGGAAAAAGACAAAGGCTTTGCAATGTCCATTAACATTTCCCTGTACCAGCAGGCTTAGGCACCAGGCAGAATAGCAATGGGCCCTTGTGCTTCAGCTCCACTCTCCTTTCAGCTGAAACTCCACACAGTCAAACCAATTTACCTGCACTCTGATGAAATATTCATCCCTGGGTTACTTGTTCTCCCCTATTTTCCCAGAGTTTACAAGCTCTTTTACACAAACATTCCCTTAATCTGTGCAGCATGACTGCCAAAATCAGGACTTGAGTGTGGTCCCTTCAATGCTTGGGCTGTGTTTTACTGTTGCATTCCTACAACACTTTGCACAACCAGTATCTTTGCACACTAGTTTACTATTAAAATTGTACAATGCCCTCAATTATGTCTTAATTTTACCAGTTCAACAAATTACATAAATCTCTCATATTTTAACTCTCTGATGAGTTAGATCCTGCAGGAACACAGTCACTTAGTTCCTAGGCTTCCAACAGAATTAGTTTGTGAACAGAATCACTATGACAGTATCTGAAAGAAACTTTGAAACAAAATATTACAAGAGAGAAATTGCAGTTGGTGAGAGACCAATAAACACACTGTAAATTCTGAGGGTTTGCACAAGAAACACTGTGTCGTGAATGGCTATTCCAGAAATGGAAAAATAGAGAGCCTCTTAACATCCAAATAGGGTGAGAAGGCAGCACTCCAACAAACAAATCAGAAGTGGAAAGAAAAAAAATGTCTGTCAGCTCCAAATAGTTTCGAAAATGAAAACAGGGATTAAAAAAGAAGAATTAAAACATGGGAAGCTGAAGCCTACCACTTGAAAGAAAACTAAATGCAGGCTATGTCCTGATGAGAAGCAATATCCTGTGTTTTCTGCCAGTGTTAGATAAGTCTCAGTGATGAAGATGGGGTTTAAAATAGGATGGGGTTCAAATCAATACACAGAAAGAGAGGTCATGCTATCTCTTTGCTTTTTTAAATGCAATTATGACTTTTCTAAACTGTGCATTTTGGGAGGTGGTAGATACAGTAGATGAAGCTCCCACATCAGCTCTTCCTTGTGGCCGTCAGAAAAGCTGTGATTCTGAAAGAGGAACTGCTGGTAACACCAACAGGTGCTGAATGCTACAGCCCTTTGCTGTGAAAGGCAGGAAAATCCCTGAGGAAATAACCTGTACCAGCTCCTCAGACTCCAGGTACCTGCAACACCACCCACTTTAGTCCTCTCAAAATGTCCCTAGCATGGGATCCTTTGTCACCAATGCCCCCCCCAATGTCACCCTTCCTTGAGATCCTTGAGGAGTCATGGCAGAAATCCAGCTACAACAGCTGTGTGGAGAGTTGTTCTGTGCAGGGGCACTTGGATGAAACTTTATAAACATAAAATATCCATGAAGTAGCTGTGAAGGGAGGTAAGGCCCTAATGTGTGGGTATTATCAGAGAATGGCTCAGTAACTTCAGTTCTCCCAGTTGGCTCTTACCAGATTCAGGCCTTTTTGTGCTGTATCTCAGTAACTCCCCCTCTAGTACCAGCAATGATAAAGTCCTGCATACAAGGACCACTTCATTCAAAGCAATGAAGCTTGAGCCAACACTCGCAAATACAGTATATATTCAAGCGCAGGACTCAAGGAAGAGCATAGAAGACATGGACTGATTGCTGAAGGTCTCCACAGAAGTCCTCAGTGATTACTACAGGTCTGTCATCCAAAACTGAGCCTTTGAACTACTTAATAAGAGGCCTTGTAGTTCAATCATTCACAACACTGGGACTTGTTTTAGAAATAACTACAGTGACAGAAAACAGTAAAACTGTTACCAAATTTGTTTTTACACAATAGGCTTTAATGACTTAAAATGAATCATGAAATATTTTTAAGTGTTCTCTAATGTGGGCCACAAAATGTTTTTTCTGCTTCTTGAAAAATACTGGTATTCCAAACTTCTCTTCCAGCCCCACTTAAAATTACAAAGATCAAAAAAGTCCCTCAAAGTGAAAAAAAAAAAAAAGGAAGGATTTTTTCATGCCAGTCAAGACCAGTGGGTTTTGATAGAAACTGAATTTCAAAATATACTACCCCAATGCTTTTCCCTTCCAAAATCAGAAAGGAACGTGTTAAAAGAAAGAATTACAAACTTTTTGTAATCTTCATTTTACAACAAAATTAATACAAGTGAGGCCCATGGTCAGTTTCATCAGAATGCCTCTTTCTAATGAAAACAAACTTTGATGAAAGCTTTCCAATTGCCCTAGAATTTTAAGGAGAAAAGACTACAGATGTTTCTGGTGACTTTTTTTTGAGAAAAATGTTGTGGCTTTTTTCAGTTTTCTCAGTTGAGAAAATGAGAGGCTGTATGACCTGCATAAGACAGATTAAGAGATAATTAAAAAAAAAAAAAAAAAAGGTTTGATTTAGAGATTTGAAAAGGATTTTCGTGGCCTGACTGTAGTTCTGACTGGTTCCCTAAGAAGAAAACAAACATCTGATTGCCTTTTATACTCTTGGAAAAAAAAAAAAAAAAAATCTGTCATAATTTTTAAGTGTGTTGATCATAGCTTATTTTTAGCTCTGACAAACCACAGAAACATCTCCAAAATATTCCCAAGAAACACAGTGACGTTTCCAGCTTGGACAGCAGAGATCTTAACAGCATTGTCCATGCTACTGTACAGGCTGAACAAATCTGTAAGACCCCTTGATGGCCCATTGAAAAGCTTTCCACATTTCCCATAAAAAATATACTTCTGGCTAGCAGAAGTATATCAAACCATATTCAGAAACACCTAAAGGAAGCCACATAAAAAAGACTGGAGTGCTACTCTGAAGACTGCAAAGGAGATTCATGGGGCCCCGAGCTGGAGGCTCTGAGGAATAACAGTTTCAGAGAAGGCAACTTATTGATGACCCAAGTGAAATGGGGAAAGGCAGTGAAAAGGACTGAGAGTCAAAATGCATTTGGAATCAGAAAATGATGGTCAGGAAAAAGAGAAAGTTGCTAAAACGAACATGGATTTGATATGTAAATCATGTGAAAGTCAGTGAGTGCTTTACATGATGAAGAGTGTTGACATATAGGGAAGAAAGTTTTACCCCTCATGCACAGGAGACAACATTTTACAGTTGGTCATGAGGAATGTGACCACTGTCCTATGGCCAGTCTGCTGAAGCTATTTATAGCTGGGACTGGTTGTATATGTTTAATGATTATCTCAGCCTCACACTTACTCACTTCGTGGATTGTCATTTCCTGATAGTAATTCCTTTGGGTTGAAGCTTGTTCATATTTGGTCACCCCCTGAAACTGAATCTCTGGGCAAGATGAAAACAATTACTTATGTGGGGGTGGGATAAGGCACTTTCTGCTAAATACTGTAACCACAAAGGTCATGCTCAAAAGTCAAAAATAGCTAGATGTTAGAAATTTTGTTTCTGTGCTGTTTAGTAGAGTAAGCCAGGACTCAGGTTAAGTTTGAAGAATATTCATCCAGCGCTTTTAAAGTCAGGAGGGCTTACGGTTGTAATTTTCACATATAAAGCTTAAAATTATCTATCCCTTTAAAGAAACTTAGCTGTCATTCCAGTTGTGGAGCAATGTTATATGCCTGTGTACTTCATATGTCCAAAGCTGGAGAACTCAGACTTTTTTTTTTTTTAAATGATGTTTGACAGCTAAACCAGAAACTTTTTAAAGACAACAGTTTAAAATGTTTGTGTCATCACAGCAACAAGCTGGTATCTACTGTCTGCACTCTTGATTCAAAACTTCCTTCCAAGGAAAAACAGTCTCTAGTCAAGAGCATCAT